CGGGCAGCTCAGGTGTATGCAATGTACCTGAGTGACTGGAAGAGGTGGAGCTAAGATCCAGCCCTTCCCAGATCTCATTTAAAGGTTTTCAGTGGAGGCAAGGGTGTCTTGCTGGAGATCCCTGCCTACCTGAGACCTTCTGAAGGTAAGCAGATTTTTTCCTTTGTTTTGATGTCTACAGCTGCTGCTTTTGAGCACACCCTCACTTGCTGTATGTAACCTAGAACTTTGCTACTACACTGACATTGCTGCACTTTCCATGGTGTTACAGCATTAATGTTACATTACAGTATATCTTTAAATAGCATTTCTGGGATAAATTGATGAGGAAGGGTGTTGGCTTCCACAGCTCTGATTAGGGAGGACAAGAATGGAAAGAAGCGAAGGTAACAGTTGAAGAAGGGGCAAGCAGGGATTGAGCTAAGCAGATCAAAGGAAACCGGAAGAAGGCAAAATGTAGGGGAAGCCATCTGAAGAAAGGACTGCTTTTCATATATTTTAGAGTGGGTTGCACAGGAGATCGTCCTTCTTGGCATTAGGTAAATATGTTTAATAAGAACATGAGCTGAAGTTGGGATGAGTAAGATCTTGGCAAGAATGTGAACGCTTTAAATTATTAGTGCATAGGTTGGAGCTAGAGATCCTATCCATCGGGAGTTGAGAAGATCACTCTCATTGTTCTGTTCTACCCTACAGAAAGTAGAAATATCTAGACAAAGCCAGGAGGAGAGGTGTGAATGAAAAAAAGGAATTAAAATGGAAACGTATCAACTTTTAGGAATGGCAGATACCTGAAGAAAATGGCCTTGAAATGACTTCTTAAAGTTGGCTTATTTTTTAAACAAGTTGCTATGGTTTAATCTTCTTATGCAAATATGACCATGCTGCAAACAGTTCACTGTCCTTCCAGATTTATTATTATGCAGAGGCACAGACAACTCACACTGCTTATCCAGAGGGCCTAGAGGTGCTGCAGTTCCCTAATAATCAGATAGGTATGCAAGAATTTGTGGGTGTGAACTATATGTGTGGGAATGTCTTAATTGCATACGTGTTGTCTGAGCCTAACTCCAGCAGATTTGCTTTATTTCTTCCAATTTGCTTTGTCTTTGCCTTTTGATTTTTGGTATGATCCATGATTTTACTGCTCAATTTTCTTCTACAAAAAAAAAAATAATAAAGGGGCATAAATGCATCATTTCTGTAGTTTTACTATCTCATTTGATTCTTTAGTTTATCTAGCAGTACACTGGATAGAATTTCTACCCTCACTACAAAGTCTAAAGTAAATCTCATCTAGCTCTATGTAAAGTTATGAGAAAGAATTCCAAAGACATTTTTTAAATCTTGTTTTCCACAGAAAAGCATTATCCTGATGGCACACAAGAAATTGTGTTCCCTGATCACACAGTGAAATGCCTCTACAGTGATGGATTCGAGGAAACTTTTTTCCCGGATGGTACAATAGTAAAAGTAGAAAAGTAAGTCTCCTTTTAGAGATGGGAATTGGCACTGGTCACAAGTCTAATGTTACTAGCATATACAACTGTGGTTTGATTCTGCATGACTGGAAAACTTCCATATGAAAGAGGAGATTTGGATGAGAATGAGTGCTTTGCTACAGTGAGGAACTGAGAATTGTTTACTTCCACTTTGAATCACAGGTGACCTGATATCACTGGCAAAGTGACTGTGAAATATTTCTTCTTTTTGTTCTATGTAACTTTGCAGTCACTGTCAACATCTGGCCAGGGCAACAGTATAACTTGCAAGCAAAAGGAAAGCCAGTTGTTTGTATTAACAATATAGGAGTGGAGAAGAGAACTCTTAGTTTGTATTCTTTGGTATTTTACTCACTTTCTGTTTTTGCCAAGATGTTTTAAATTCTTTGCTTCTATTCCATCATATAAAATGAGGACAAATAACAACAGGAATTCACTACACATGCCTATTCTATGCTTCTGTTGTAAAAGATTTTTCTATTAGCAAAGTGCCTCGAGATCCCTGCATGCAGTATTCGTACAAAATACAGGTTCTGCCATCTATTATTATGTATAGAAGCACCTTTGTATTGAAACTTGATTGTGATAATTGATCTCTGATATGACCACATGTAAATTCTGAAGTGAATTATATAACCTATGAAAGTTTCTACTTTGATTGTGCCATCTTAGGCAGCTAGGTATGATAGGTTAATAACATACAGTGCTTTATGGCCCATTTACTCATGGCTATTGCTTTCAGGAACGGCGATAAACTAGTGGTATTCAGTAATGGCCAGAAGGAGTTTCACACTGCACAGTTCAAGAGGAGGGAATACCCAGATGGAACCATAAAGACCGTGTACTGCAATGGCAGGCAAGAAACCAAGTATTTGTCTGGACGGGTTCGAATCAAAGATGAAGAGGGTAATATCATCCTAGATAACAAGTGATTCCTCCTCTCAGTGGCTGCACTGAGTAAGTGGCTCAACAAATTTTGTCTGTATGATTTAGTCTCTCTCTCCTCTGGACACGTGTGTTGGTTTAAAAGATTCTTTACTGATGCCTCTAATGCTTTTCTGTTGCTGTTAATTATTAAGATTAGAACATGTGAAGCAGTGAAAACCACTATTTCTAATGAAATAAATTAAGGGTAATACTCTCAATCCACTGTGTTCTATACAACTACAAATTGCCATCATACCACAAAGAAAAAAAAAAGCATAAAAAAAAGCATAAACATTTCTGGTCAGTGAATCTCACCAGCTTTAAGGCTCTTTAAATTGCACTTAATACCTAGGGGGATGAATCATTTACCAGATACTGCTTTCAGCTCCCTTCCTGGTAGACTGGCTGTCCATCATCTGTCTTGAATTCTTCTAAAGCACTGAAGCATTTCCCCTGTAGAACTCATCTCACTGCCCAGTGACTGAAAAGACTGAAAATTATTTCCTTGTGCCCTTCAGATTCCTGTAGCAACAAACATGAGTTCATAGAATGCTTCTCACACCTACATGCAAAGTAATTGCAAGATTATGGAACGTCTCTCTCTTCTCTTTACCTTCCAGTGGGCTAGACTGCCAATGCATCAGCGTTCATATTGCAGATCATCTTTGCAAGAAACAGATCGAGCAGAGTAGAAAATGTTGTTAGTATTGATCATACACTGTTATTCATGAATTTAATTAAGATGTTCTAAATATCCAAGAAGTTTGGTGTCAGATGGTGTGGTAATAACATTGTACTGTTTTGCTTATGTTTCATTACAACAAAGGAACACTTAAATCTGTGCTCTTCACTATTGAAACACTTGATACGTTTTATATGTTTTGTAGAAGGAAACTCTAATCCAAAGAAATCCAAGAGATCATTCTTTTCCATGTGTTTCACTAAGAATTTCTGCTCAGTGTAGCCTCTGATTAAAACCAATGTGTGTTTTGTGTTTCTTTTTTTTTCAATTGACCATTGTAAAAACAGTCAATATGATTAATTCTCTTTCAGTTTGATTAGGAAAATTGATGTTTCTAAGGCACAAGTGCTTTTATTCTCAGGGTTTTTTTTAACAAGGAGTGCATATTCTCCAGTTGTTATGCTTACATCCTTTTTGTTTCTGCAGTAAAATACAAACTTGCCTTAAATTGTTGGTTGACGTTCATTTATCTGCGCATATAATCCTCTATAATTTTAAGTTCAATAAGGAGTAATTTTGTTTGTGATCTGCTTGCTCCTTGGTAAATTAATCTGACTCTACTTCTAGGATGCGTTCTCCTTCTGGAATAGAAGGCATGTAGTCCTGCACAGATGTAACGCTGAGGTGATAATGTTGTAACCTCCTAGGTCTCTGCACATGTTTTTCAAGCAATATTTTATAGCACAGAAGCAAAGGGATTCTTGAAGTAAGGGTTGCCATTTAATTTTCTTAGAAAAAGAAACAGAAAAATACGTAACTAATGAGACTTGGCAGGTAAGGAGCCCTTCACAGACCGATTATGACAAGTTATACTATTTTTCACAGGCTAATTCTCACACCTTGTCTCCTTTATCTTCCATTTGCTTTAGGTGATCAGGAGCTGCTTGCTCTAGTAGGTATGGTGCAGGAATACTAATAATCCAAATTTTGTGGTGCATGTTTACCTTAATTGTAGCAATACACTTGCCTACTTTGGAAAAGCCAACTTATTATAACTTTTCCTCTGTGGTATGCAGTGAAAGTGTTTTTTACGAAATTTTTTTATGAAATCTTTGGGGATGTGAGACACAGCTGGAAAACCCTATTTCTCTGTGGACCTCTCTCCACAGGTCTTCTAGCACTACAGGAAGTATGTTACAGCCAGTATCTGACCTCAATTTTGAGACAAATCTGGGTGACTTGTGAACAATAACTTCAGACAGCTGGTGGCAGCAAAGGTGTACAAGAGAAGAGTACTAATCTTAGAGTATCAGATGTCTCAGTTCAGTGGTTTTTTTTAATCTTCCATGCTTAATTAATCAGTGAAGAAGTTCTACTGAAAGCAAAACAAAACTGCCAAATTGCTACATCCTTTGGGTGGCTAACACAGTCTGTGAGACAGAGTTTTGATTTGCTCTTCTTGAACATAGTATTTGCAGTTTGTCCTGCCTCCAATATCAAATTTCTTTCTCACTTTAGGAAGCCTTCTTTATCAAGGGCTTATCGGGGGGAAGGGAAGCACCACTGTAACAGTGTATGTCACTACATTTTTTGTTTGTTTGTTTTTTATAACTCATTTTCCATAAGAATTTCTGCAGAATCCTACAGGTCATAAAATAAAATTTGTTTCATATTGTTGTTTCATACAGTGCAAAATTAACCTGTGGAAAGTGATGCCAGGCAGCTCACTGGATTGTTCAAAATGTTGTTTTGTGTGATTCATATAAATTGAGAGCATGTTGAATATTTCCCTTGTGTAAACTGACCAGCTTTTTCAAATCATAAAGCTGGGAAAAAAAAAGAAGCAAAGATTTCAGAGATAAATAATAAGACAGGTATTTCTGAGGATGTTCTGAGAAATGCAATTCTCCATTTTTATTTTGAGATTACTTGTAAGAGTTATTCAGCACTTTCATTTTCAAAAATAATCTCTCATGGTAATTGCTAAATCACAATTTTTACATTGTGTATGCTTTGAAATATTTCCTCCTAATACAGCTTCAGTACACTGCCCACATACCTTCAAGCTAACGGTGTCATTCATGATGTCTGCATGACTTTAAATTATGAAGTTATACATATCATGTCTTTTTTTGTCTTGCGCTATTTTGTTTGCTCACTAACTTGTTTATTTCCTTTATGATGCTCTTTACATCTGTGCTGTCCTTGGAAGCTTGAAGTGCAGCTTCATTGAAAGGAAAAATAAGCACAAAACCTCCTACCTGGCGGGTAGGCATCTGATCTTTGTCAGAGAGGAAATAGGGGCGTGTGCTTAACTTGTAGTTGCAGATTTCAGGTGAAGGTGACCACCGGCTGAGTTGTGAAGAAATGAATGGCGGATGTACAGCTGGGAGTTGTTTGTTTTTAGCTTCAATTTTTACTTGAGAGGATGTTTTTGGCTTATTCATCTTTTCCCGCAGCTGAGAAGTCAGTGTTTCCCTTGGATGTGCTCTGGCACTTTTCCTGGTCAGGGAAGACGCCTTATGAATTGATCCTCTTCCAAATTGCAGGGCAGGTTGTGTTTGAGGAGCAGAAATACAAGTAGATACTTTTTGACCAGAAAGTAAGCCAGGAGCCTCTTCTGGGGTGCTTTGACCAGCTCTTCTCCAGTGCATCTGCCTTCTAACAGCTTTTGACCCAGGCCTTTCATTCTGCCTGTGAGTGTCAACCTGCTTGTAGTTAAGCAGTTCAACAATATCATGAAGAAGTTTTCTTTTCACAGTGTCATCAATGGAGCAGTCTAAACACAAAGCTGGATTGTAGTTCACTTCTAAAAGCCACGGCTTGAACTTGTCATCAATCAGGATGTCAAAGCCAAAGAGTTCAAAGCAATTGGAAGCCTCTGGTAAGGGAGTGACTGCAAGCAGGGTGAGAATCACAATGTTATTCATCTTTTGCCACAGTAGCATGTCATCAACCCCAAAAATTCGAAGGTAAGAACGGAATTTGCTGAACGTCCACTTGCAACCACAGCCAATCCCTTCTTTAAATGTTTTATATGAAGCTCCGTATTTGTTGATGCTGGTGTTTGTTAGGTGGGCGTAGACATTGTCTAGAGAACTGAGGTCAAACTTCTCAGTGGCAAACCTCACCAGTCCCTCTTCATAAGTGTAAATTGTGAGTGGGCAAAAACTGGTGACACACACATAAAGGCGAAGATCCAATTTATATCCTGAAATGAGCAAGGGGTTGCTAATGTACTTCTGCACAATGACTGTACAGTGATATACTAAGTCTTCAATGTCTTGGAAAATGAGTATGCCCCTTCCACGTGAGAGATGCACAGGTTTGCAAATCCAGTAGCTAGGTCTGCCTACTGTCTGTCTCTCTTTGCTGTATTCTGCTATAAATTTGACATAGTCATTGGGCATGATGAATGCTACTGGACTAAATTCATACAGTGTTGATCCATATGCTCCTTTCATACGTTTCAGATGCCTTGCCAAATAGTCTTTTCTGGTGATCCTGACAGCTTCTGGATAGTGGTTGAGTCTCTGCCATGGTTTAATACTGTGGTGGTCTGCCATAGGAAAAGGTGAGTTCCGCCAGTACAAGTTCCAGTCTGTGTCGTCTTGCTCCTTTCGGTCAAATTCAGTCCAACCACGTTCCAGTAAAACCTCACGGATTATTGCAGGGGCATTTTCATGGAGACGGAACACCAAAGGCTTCAAGGTTTCACTTGCATTATCATCTGCCAACGTTTCCATCTTACTAGCTGAAAGAGAACAGAATCGTCAGGAAAGAAACAATGCTACAAGTTGTGCTAACAGTCATCAGCCTTGCTGTATTCTTAACGTTTGTCGCTCTCAACACGTTCTCTAAGCATATTACTGTTGTTTCCATTGCCCATGAAAGAGAAGACAAAGGCTTGTTTAAGCTGAAAGGTATGTTAGAAGGGCATAAATACCAGATAGTTGTCAAAATAGTACAAAGCATTGACTGCTGAACATCTTCAGTCTTGCATTTACTCTTTCTTTGAGGTAGCCTACTATAATAGCAGTTGTCCTAAAACTTCCGTAATTCATGAATATTTACTGAATATTTCAATTTCCTGATAGGGAAAGTTTTTTCCACAGAAGAAAAATAATCTGCCAGGTATTCTTGAAACTCAGAATTTTGTTTTGAAATTGTCAGAATATCTCACTTATGTTTTTTGAAAAGCCAGATTCAACAGTTCTTGTTCAGAAAGACTTCTTAATGTCTTACCATTAATAAAATGTAAGTTAAATTAACTTAAAAGTTTTGCCAGCTGCAGAACAGATTAAGGCTTATTTCATCTGCATGTGGAAAACAACTCAGAATTTCTTGCATGTTACAAAACATGCTTCACTTTCCACATCTGGCAATCCTCTTCTATGATGTATTTGTCGTGGCTGTCCAATACGTTTTGCTGCTGCTATCAGGCTCAACTATGGACTGTAGCTGAATTGTCCTTAGTGAGAGCTTTCCTTGGGTAAGGGTTTGTGGGAAACAGGAAAGAAACATGGCAGGTACTGCACCATAATAATGATGTAATGTGACTTAGGAACTAACACCACAAAGGTGAAAGAAAGGCTTCTTTCTGTATCTCTTGCAGGCAGTGCTTCCCAGGAAGCTGAGGGTTTGCTGTTGAGCATGCACTCAAGCCTAACCTGGTGGCATAGTGAATCCGGGCAATTTTTGTTGTCTTTTGCTTCTGCTTTCTTTCCTGGGAGTTTTTTCCTGCCTGATATTAAACAGCAGTATGTCACATGCCGTATGTGTGCAAAGCAGCAAGTTTTACAGTAGCTGGTTCACAATCTCAGGCAGTGATTATTACATTGAGAAAAAATGTATATACCTGAAAATAGCCATACTAAGCATTTGGATGAGTCATCTTAGGAGTGCAGTTTTGTCTTTTTTGTACTGCTAGGCATTCCTACTAGCAGTGTTTCAGTGAAAAGCACTGTTGCACAAGAATCTAGAGCAGGTATGATTACTCTGGTAAGTAATCATAAATCAGGCTGCTAGTACTATCTGAAGAATGAAGCTGCCTTTGATGGTTTTCTATGTCAGGGTGTATTAATGGTGCATCTTTCATACCTCTGGCACTCGGGGAACAGCATAGAGGAAATTGACTTACCAAGCTTTGATCTAGCAACATGAGTTTCAAACTTCCAGGTAATTAAATACAAAGAAAACAATGAGAGAGCAGTTACCTGCTATCACAAACAAGCAGAAGCTCTTAAAGTAATATTACAAAAGTAACTCTAGAAGATACAGTGATTTTAATGAGTGAATTTTACTCACCTATACAAACACATGTCTGGATGAATGCTCACCTCATCATCTAGGAGAGTTTTGCCTGCATTCTCTGAGCTCTCCATTTTTGGCCCATTCTTTAATAACCTGAAAATCCACCCATGTGTTTGCAAACATTCATTCATCCACAGAGTGGAAATGGCTGCAGCTGCCTGTGAGTGTGCTGGAATCCAAAACCCACCGACTATTGCTGCAGATGTTCCCCTCAGAATAAGGGCTGCAGCTGTGACCTCATTGTTTCCATGGAGCTGTATGGTAACCCTGGGGCCACCAGGCAGTCCCAGCCTCTTCCAGGGCTCTAGGTCTGCCTTGGCTGCTAACAGCTATTTCTGCATCACAGTTGCTTGTCTTTATACCTATTGGAAGCAGGTCTTGTGGAAATTTGATTCTTAATGGTTAGGCATTGAAACTGTTTTCTTGCAGTGTTAAAGTGGACTGCCTCTGCATAGCTAAACTAAGCAGACTGACTGGTAAGTGTTTTGCACTAAAGTCCTCAAACCCTCAGGGCCGCAGACCATAACATGGGTCTGCAAGCTGCCTGCACTGGGATTCTGTCTCACAACCAACCATTCTAATCATTCCTTTAGGTCTCATTTCTGTCCAGTAAGCAGCCTCATACTACAAGGTCAGGAAGGATGCCTGCCAATCCAGCTTCATCCCATCTGGCTACACCACGTGGCCCCTCACGTGCATTGGGTGTGGGCTACCTGCAACAAAAGCACGTTCCCTGACTCGCAGCACAGGGGTAAGGCAGAGAAGGTGCACGCTGTGTCTGATTGAGCAGAAGTGCCATGAGTTTAAAGGCTGGGCGTATCCCCCTGCACTGCACTCCTTCCTAGGTCAGCCTCACCCCGCGGGCCTGCCGCCCCACACGTACCTCTGCCAGCTTCAGCCCCTTTCAGGGCCGTTCCGCCCGCAGCTGCACGCGCTCGAGTGAGCGGGAAGCGGCGGGGCCGGCTGCTGGGGCCGGAGGAAGGAAGGGACGGCGGCCGTTGCTTGGCAATGAGGAAGGGAGGGCGGAGGCCTCAGAGCCTTGTCTAGCTGCTTGCGGAGGGACGTCCTGCTGCCTTTTCCCCCTTCCCCCGGGCTTTCGTCCAGTTACGGTGGAAACTGTTAATGCATCAGCATTAATTACTTGAAGTTGACTGTCTTAAGATCCAGATGGTGCTATGATGCATGGTATGCCCGCCACCTGCCTCCTCAGCAACGGACATTGCGTGACCCAGCTCAGTCCGTGAGCTCTCAGGGAGAACTCATCGCACACTGGCTGAGGGGAGCTGCTGCTTCCTTGCAGGATGAATGCAGCTGTGGCTGTGGGAGAGATCAGAACCTGCGTGGTAGTGCAGCATAGGCTGAAGGTGAGCCTGTCTGTGCCCTGCTGCTGGACCTCAGCGCAGACAGACCTGGGCTGCTTGCTGCCTGACAGTCATGTTCTGGTACAAAGTGCAGACGCAGCCAGACTGTAACAGAATGCTATTCACAGCAAGTGCTTAAAAAAGGCAGGATGAGAAGAATATAAATCTTTTTAAATGGTGACTCCACGATCATAGCTCACTGGAACCGTTATATGCATTCTCTGTAATCAGGTAAGCAATTCCAGTGGCTGCCATCTTCTGATGTTGCATGTGGTTTTTTCAGCTTTGACTGTAAACCTGTACCAGGACTGATCCACAAATACAAAATTGTTAGGACTTTAAGAGTCTTGTATGCATTTATCCAGACTTTATTAATTAAAAAAAGAGAGATGTTTAGTTGTATGAAAGGATGAAGTCAGGTAATCATCATAAGGCTGAAATGTCAAGAGAAATTTTTACTCCTAAGACATTTGTATTTTGTTGGCCCCAAAATCTGTTTGAAACTGTTGAACTTGGAACATCTGTGGAAACCTGCCTGTAGGAGATGACCTTGATTACTCTGACCCACATGGGTTAGATATGTGTTTCCTGGGTGTGAGGTCCCTTATTTTCTTTTTCTGTAGTAGCAGGTGTCCCAGAGGATCTCTTAGCTTCCAGGTACTCAACCATTCCATATGTCACCATAGACAACATAAGCACAGCCAGTAAAATGTACAGCTTGATGTAGACTCGCAGTGTGGTGCTGTAACCAAAGGCAATGACGAATCCACATGATTCCCAGAGACGGTAATTTGCAAAGGCTGCCTCTGTGTGTTTCTCAAATAAAACACCATACAGTCCTGAATGAAAACAAGGAGACAAGGTTTGTGAAGGTTAAGTTTGAAACTACGTATTTTCTGCAACAGGGATAAATAGGCTACGTCAGGGAAAATGAACCTTTCCTCTTCAGGAGAGAAGAAAGTGCTAACTTTGTAGAATATTTTTGCGCTCATATGAATTGCGATAAGTTAAAAAACAGCCAAAACAACAAAAAAGCAAATAACAGAGAAAAAGGGAAAGAAAATGAGAGGAAGGAAGAAAAGATGTGTGGTCTCAAAGTGAAATGATAGGAAGTTTGTTTTTCAAATTATCAGCCGGAAATGGGGAAGGTTTGTAGGCAAGTCCTTACATACTGTTGTGTCGTCTCGAAAGCTCCCTCTGAGTTTGGTCAGCTGCATCCTCATGCCTGGGATTCAGGCAGGGATTCCCACCTCTGGGTACTACTGGTGAAGCACCAAGGGAAGGGCAGAGGGCTCACTTTCCTCTGGGTGCTGAGCTAGCATCGGTGGTGATAACAAAGCCAGTGTTTCCACTGACTCAGCTGTGGTGTGGTGAGTAGGAAGGAACGTGATGAACCTTGACTTTGCTCATTCATTTCTGTATCTAACAACTTGTATATTTGAAATATGCATATTCAGCCAAAAGACAAAGAGAACCAAGTTCTCTAGAATGCTGGATCTTAATTACCAACCTTGCCAAGTGCAGTATGGCACCAGTATGGCTGACTGGAGCTGTGGAAGGGTCCACTAGGCTGGCTGAGTGCATGGGCTTGCTGCTAGGTCTGAATTCTTGTTGGTAGCTATAGAGCCTCACTTTCATGGAAATTCTGTCCTAATTCTGTCCTGCCTGCTTTCCCATTCCTACAGCCTCTTCACCTTGCTCTGTTTGTAGGCATGGATGTAGAAGAGGACTGCTGAAAATAATTTTTCTCCAGGTTTATAAACTTTCCAGTCTGGTTCACATCCTTTCTAAACGCACATGTAATGCTCAAGAGAGCTTTATTTTACTGCAGTCTACCTGTGCTGCACAATTGTCCTTGAAGTGTGTTTATTGCCAGGAAGGTGATAACAGCAACTGTGCTCAGCTTAGATAAGAGAGGGAAGTACACACTCTGAAATGAAGTAGGTTTCAACTGGTAATGGAGTGCACATATGTACACAAACATATCAGGAAACTTTGTAACATGAAATGACTCATCTATTGTTTGCCTGTATACCTCTAGGGGGAACTCTAGCATTAACTATCCACAACAGGCCAAAGTAAACCGTCTCTGATTACCGTAAAATGCCTGGAGTATGCAGCACAATGATGTTGTATTTATTCAGCGATTAGTCTGCTGAAATGGAAAGGGCATTTGTGGGAGCTTGCCTAAGGAAGCACCACAGACCTTAGTCCCTAATGCTATTTTACATTTACATTATCTTAGTCTCACCTCATAGCCTTTGGAGTCAGGAATTTCTCTTATTATTTTAGTACCACTTTCCCTCTATAAAACTGATGAGGAGGAGAAGAGACTGTCCTAAACAGGCATTTCAAACTGCTGAGTTTGTTTTGGGATGCAGCATTATAATGTCACTGCACAATCTCCTGCCATCATTGTGACAATGCAAATTCTGTGCGTTTTGTTACTAGAAGCTGCAGAATAACTGTAAAAGATGACAAAAAAAGGATACTGTGCAAGCGTAAGGAACATTAGTCTTTTTCCTAGTTAGCAACAAATCTGAAGGTTTTAATGAATATCCAGCAGGAGCCTGAACATGTGGGTGACCAACAACAGTACTGTAATAGAGGTTGGAGTTCTCACAACACTGCAGAGCTCAGTAGTACAATGATTTCTACACACAACATGCAAGTTGTGCCTTGTGAGGGCATTAGGAGCTGCACTATCTTCCAGCCTCCATCTCTCACACTGAAGCCCTCTTCACATTGAAGCCTACTCCTTTCTCTTAATGAGGGCACTGGGTGCCCCTTCCTCAGGTATGCTGGAACCACACCGAGATGTTTTCAGGAAAGTCAAGTATCAGGACAAGGACTGCTGCAAAGATCCCTCATCTTAGTGAGAGGCATAAGATTCTGGAGAATGATTCTTAAGAGTGTTGGGAAGGAGAGAGGTGGACAGCCAGGGAGATGGCTGGCAGGAGGAGCAGGAAATGAATTACCAACTTTACTTCAAAGAGTGCAAATCACTGATGCTCTCCCTTTATAAACCTGAGCAATGAGAGCACTGACTTACAATTGTATCAAAGGCACAAGGCTGTGGGTTGAGATGAGAGAAGCTGAGAGGGTGTTGCTTGACATGTGTAACAGCTCCGCTCTAAGTGATATGACCTGAAACTGCTGGAAGGACAGAGCGATCTGAGTGGTTGCTTCCTTATTTGTGTAGGGTACTGTAGGAGTGCTGGAAAGGAGTTCTGTAAACACCAGGAAAAGGACTGTGGTGATTTCCTTTTGTCTCTCTAGGAGAAATGTACTGATTTATCCAGTGAGCAAAATCATCAAATGACTTACTGGGCTAACCAGGGAGATGTGAGAGAGGACACCTAGACACACTGGCAAATAAGGGCAGATATGGGAGCTAGCAAGTGAGCTAATTCTGTCACCTGTGTATTCCTACAGTCTCTTGCCAAACACGAATTTGAGATAGAGAAATAAGAAGCAAAGTACAAGAGCAAGTGGGAGAGCATTTAACAGTACCTTGTGGACACAGGCTATGGCACTGGTTTAAAAAGACTGCAAGTGATGGTCTTTAGCAGCCTGTATGTATTTCAATACATACAATAGAGACTGTAGCTTTTTCTTGCCCTCTACAGCATTTTGTAATCTGTCTTCAATCTGCAGAAGATCACTTCCTCTAGTTCCCAGTAACGGTAAGTATAAGTGAACCCTTACAGAAGTGAGTGTGTATCACCTCGTTATCTGTACTATGCTGGGGATTAATAATTACATTGTATCACAGAGCAGAAGATCATAAAAGATTTTAAAGACGTTTAGTGTATCAGACAAGAAGTCCAAACGTAGCCTTGCAGCAACAAATTCATAGGATGAGTGTAAGAAATAAGGCAAGTACAGAATGCCTTATTTGCCAAAGAATGGTCTTTCCCCTACTGAGTCTGGCAGTCAGAGACACAGGGACTTTCTGAGTTTTACGTTTCCTCTGTACCACCAGGCTTAGTAACCCCCAAGAACATTTCCCCCTGAAATGATGTAATGCCAACTTAAAACCATTTATATTTTTGGGCTCTTTTTAATCCTTTGGTAATGAACACCACAACTTGATTATGTATTTTCTGGAAAAAACATTTCCTTCATTTTCTATGAAGCCTGCTGTAGGACAGTGCTGTTTGGTACCACTTGTTCTGTTATTAAGAGAAATAGCAAATAAATCATTTTCTAAAAATCATTTTCTAATCACCTTTCCTATATTATTCACGATCTCACATTCTGCTTTCCTTATTTATCACTTGTCCAGGCTGAAGCATTCTAGTTCGTTATTCTTCCTTCACGTGGAAATCTCGTGGAAATCAAATGTGTTAAGGTACAAAAAGCAATACTGCTTCTTTTTATTGCTTTTTGTACCTTATCACATTTGATTATGATTTTTAAATGGAACAAATCAGAAATGCATGAATCGTAGATTTGTGTGGTTGCATAATGTTGTTCTCTGTGGTTTTTTCCCTCATTTTTTTTTCTAATAACTACTGAAAGCCAATTTACTGCTGCTTTTGTAGCTGAGATTTGAGTTGATTTTTTTTGAATGCTCTATTTTTTATTTTTATTTTTTACAAAAGACAGGCTAAATGTAACATTCTTCTGAATCTTGTAATTTTCTGAGAAATATGCTCCTCCAGAATATTTATTCTGATTATCTGTTATCATCTTTCACAATGTTCTCCTCTCTTCATCATGGAAAAAATATTTAATAAGTATTCTACTTTCTCATTCTCAACTTCTGATTTATTCTAGTCTCTAAAGAGCTAATACATGTCTTTCAGTAGCGGTCTTAAACCTATTCTAATTATTATGCACATCCTAAACCAGATTGCTTATAAATATAAATATGCAGAATTTTACATCTCAGGAGAATTCATTTCATTGTCACCAAGACTTACCATTAGTTTGTGTCTGCCAAATGGCATCCGATAAGCCCCAAAGAGCAGGGAATATGAAGAACACGACAAGCTGGTTAGAATGAGGTTTCCACAGCAGTAGTGCTATTATACAGGCAGTGTTCATAGCTGTGGCTGTCAGTTCAGAAAGAAAGCAGAGCAATATAAATGCTATTATATGCAGGAGAGGTAGTGGTATATGCTCTTTAAAATTCTTCCCCCAACTAAAGCACAAGGCAATCCAGAAATCTTTCTGGTTCATTGAGATTTGCACTGACTGAGTTGATATTGCATGAAATACAATACAGTACAATGCAATCGTTTAATAGTCTTCT